GTAAAGAACATGTTGTCTAAAACTTGCATTTAAAGTTAACATTCTGCATGTTCTGCTGTTAGTGTGTGGTTTAATACAACCTCAGAAAGTTAACAGTAAGTGTAAAGAAACTGTTAGGACTAAATCTTACATTTGGGTTCAGGCAGTGTCTACTTCTTAACTGATATCTTCTAATAACTTTAGGTAATATCAGTTATTGTTTTATGTGAATTAGCTTAAACTAGAAGTTAATTTAAAATCTTCTCTGACTGACAACAACATAAAAATGAACTTGTTCATGAGGGGAAATTGCCCCAAAAAAAGAAAGAAAGAGAAGAGAAGAGAAACATAAAACCATGTGTTTCTTTCCTTTCAAAGAAGAATATAATTCTAGTTCTAACAGGAACAGAAGACATCACCAAATGCTGATGTCGATGTAAAAATCATTGAAAAAATGCACTGAATGAAAGCTGATGTAAAATCATAGCTAAAAGGCTGCACTTCAATGCTGATTGTTTGGTTTAAAAGACACTGTGGCAGTGTGCAGAAATATGACTATAACAAATATGCCTGTCGAGCTGAAAAATGTTACTCTGTAAATTGTCACAATTCACACGTTGCTCTTTTTGTGATTTTCTATTGATAAAGTTCTAGAGCATTCTTTGAGTATTAGGCCCTTCTGTCAGACCAGAGAAGTAAAAACAGGTCAGCCAGTACACTATAGGCTACTGTTGCAAATAAAGAGAGATTATCTTGGCTATCTCGTTTTAGTTTGTACTCAATGATTCAGACCACAGTTAATACATGAAACAAAGATTCAAGACAAAATATGACATTGTGCAAGACTGTGAGGCTGAAATTGCACAGTGCAGATAAAATTCTTACTGAAAACCCGTCTGAAGGGTTCTTGTGCAATTATTTGTAAATGACTAAAAGTTGAGATTCCAAGTACATCGGGTTACAGTTTATTCACTTAGAGATTCATCATAGTTTCGTTGTGCATGTACAATGAAAATCAAGGGCTATTTTATTCTATTCTGTATCTGATCAACTCAAAGCTTAGACTTCATTACCATCACAAAACAGCCGCACCATCACAGATGTAGCCGCGCCAAAAAGAAAAACAGTGAAAGTACACACATCAGGGACAAGAAGAGAAAAAAAGAACTCTACTCGAACTGTGCGCCTAACTGGGAAACCAGCTTGAGGTCAGTAAAAAAAATACACCTCAGCACAAAAAAGCACACGAATATTCACATTTACACCATGTAAAGCACGTGACATGCATCGGAGGCATTTGGGGTGGGTGAGTGCGTATCTGTTTCAGTGTACATGCATGTGTATGTGTGTTCTATGTTCAGCATGAGAGAGTGTCCTTTCACCCAGTTAAGCGAAAGTTAACAGTACCCATCGTACCCTTGAAGGATTTTTTTTAGTGATAGATGACAGCGGAGTGTGATTAAAACAAAATGCAAAGGTCAGTTTCATATTCTGTGTGTCACAGACTTCTACGGCCACAGTAAGTGGGTGGGGCTGTGGAATAAAGCTTCATAGTAGTAGTATTTACTCGCCCCACTTTCTGTGTTCAGAAATTTCATTTCATTTCATTTATTTATTCGTTTATTTCACACTTGGTACAACAATTCAAACAAACCAACCACACTTTCTATCAAAAAGCACTACAACCATGTGTGAAAAGGAGCAGGAAGAAGAAAATATTCTTATTAAACCCTGCCCCCTATCTACAATCCAATTTATATTACAAGTTGGCACCAAAAATCAAGGAACAAACTAACATTAACATTTATCTCCGGTCCTAACCCAAACCAAACAACAAATTTACAATCAGAATATACCACTCCACGTAGTAACAAGGTAACAATGAAATGAGAGTTAGATTACTACATTCAACTCCATACTCAAACAACTTATACGCTGGAATATTCCTTTAACTGAAATTAGTATTCATAGATAAGTGACAGATTAGCAACCAGTACAATATGTGTCATTTTGTTATACATTTACTCATACTCTTGATGTCACACTAAGATGCACAGATGATAAAACAAAAGCAGTTTGTGTGGGTGTTCTTTGGAATTCATCAGCTTAAGGGAGGCACAAATATAAGAGGAATGATTCAGAGCACACACACACACACCCAAAGCACACTCAGATGCAGCCTAGAATTGAAGCAGAAAACACACATCTGACTATAGACTATAATCTACTTGAGTAAACAAAGTCTCACACTGAAGAAGTTCTAAAGACTGAATCCTACAAAACTACCTAAGAACGACCTAAGAACGGTTCACACAGGTAAGATGGACAGTGAAACCTTTTTATAGTGTATCATAGAATTATTTTGGCATCTTAAACATATGTTGTACCATCTGTTTTTTTCCTAGTATCCCATTTGTTTTTTCTATATTATTTTCAATATTAATGAATGGAAGTAAATGACCAATGCATTTGTATCAATCGTTTTTACATCTAAGTAAAATGTGAGGTCCAGTATAAAATTATCATATGATGTAGTGCTGATGTTAATAGCGTTAATCTGTTTAATAAAATATCAAACATGATCATTTCCACTTACTTTCAATGTGTAATAGTTGCACTGCTTTACATTAACTGCAAAGGCAGTCTCTGTGCTTGATCACATCCTTTTTGTCCCAAAAGGTTGATTCTGTTCAAATTGTCATGACCATTGATGAGAATAAACATTCATGGGGAGTTTCCATCAGGATTTCTTTTTCTTTCAGCATTACCATCCGGCCTACCTGCTCAACTATGACTACCCGGCAGTCAGTGATGCTTCTGGTGGTGCTGGTCCTCTCCCTCCCAGGCCTTTTTCATAGCTTCAAACCACTCTTCTACTCAAAGTCTATCACCCACCGTGAAATCACACGAATAGCAGTCCTTCGAAAGACAGCAGAGGTTTGCAGAGACACCGCTGCTTCTAAAGGACTGGACTTCAATCTAATTGTGAGTTAGACTTACAAAGAAACACAGCAAGAACAGTGATACATCTGTGCTTCGCTTAGTGTTTAACACTAACGAAAGAATATATGTTATTCTCATTCTAATGTTGTTGAGTGGAGAAATATATCAGTCAGCCACAACATGAATTACATTTTTCTTCGTACAGTTCAGTGTTGTGCTATAAAACCTCGTGTCCTACTATTCATGTTGGTGTCACTTTGATACATCCATCTGCATACATAATGACAAAGATTCTGTTGGATTGTGCTGAAGCAAGCCCAGTCAACAGAGGCCACACTGCTGCCAGTGGCCTCTTATCAAAATTAGTGGTGTCACCAGTGGGACCTGCACTTTATTACTATGTACTATATTACACACAAACTACTTTGCTGGTCATAATTGCTGATGATGAGATAAGACTACTCTTACCTTTAGCGCAATATTTAGTACCAATTTTGGTTAACATGCGAATAACATATTTAAGGAGTTGTAATATACAAATTTATTGTCTCCAGATTGATAACAACTTGTCAGCTGGAAAGGTGCAAAAGGCCTGTTCGTCTATGGATACCTTCACATCTTTCGTTTCCACCATCAAGTTTGAAACTGCCATTGCTTCTATGTACCTCAGCAATGCAGAGGTGGATGGAGTTTTTTTCCTGAGTGCAGCACACCATTTTGATGATGAGACATTCAAAGAAGGACGGGATATCATCACTAAAGGTACCTCAAAGCTTGTCAATAATAGTTTAATAATGAAAATAATAATGTTATACTATGTATAACTAACTCATGTGAATACAGATCTATAGAATTCAACAGCCTAATGAAGAAAAGTGTTTAGAATTAGGGTTTGGTAAATAACAGAAAATCAAAAAACAAAAACTGAAATCTAGAAAGAATTTTTGTAACATTTCTCATTTCAACAAGGTTTGTAGCAATTCCCACAAAAGTCTTACATACTTGAAAGTTCTATATCTAGGGAAGGAAAGTGATGTTACAGATTACTTCAGTACTCAACAAGCAAGACTTGTTTGTCAGTTGGAACTGCCAACTTCAATCAGAAATCTTGCAGAATAACATCTTCAACATTCTCACACACACACACACACACACACACACACACACACACACACACACACACACTGTAACACTGCTTTGAGTGGATAAAGACTGGTGATGTAATGCTGTAATTCAGGTTTTGCAGTGCAGGCTACACTATTGCAGCTTGTGTCTAATCTGTTGTATTTTAATAATAAGGTGCATCTGTGGTGAAGGCGCATGCTAAGAAAGAAAACTATATCCAAGGGAGGTTGTCTCTAGGGCAAATCTGTCACACTCTACAGGTACTGACACATAATTTACTGCTAATTTGTTAAGACTGCTAGATGGCAGCATAGTATAATTCAAACAAAATGCAAAAGTGATATTATAAATCTGTCTCATTTGATGTATTTTAAGGATTTCTACAGCCACAGTAACTGGGTGGAGCTAGGAAATAAAGCTCCATACAGTGCTCTGATCAGACCTGACCAACCTCTTGAGAACCTGGCAGGTAGGAGTTGAGAATTTCCAGTTTAAATATGATCTAGATTAAATTTGTAGAAGTATTTGTAATGTTTACTTTCAAAATATAAATCAATATTTTTTTTCTTATTTATTTGATATTGCTACAGGACAAAATACTCCAACTTGCAGAAGTTGTGTAGGAGAGAACTGTACTAACAACATTCTGCCTGATGTGTTGAATCGGGGACTTCTGACTTCAGGCTACTTTAACCTAATCTCCTCATCAAAACCTACAGGTAACTTGGAGCAATCATCTCTTTTGATGTGTTATGATAAAGTCTTTGTATGTTTTCAATATCTCTTGACAAAATGATAAAATGTTATCCCTGTTCAAAGGTAAATGCAGTCATGGTGGATCTGCTGATCGCACAAGCAGGAGGGATCCAGTGGGCGGGATCAATAAGGATACACTTAATTCCAGTCATGGCTTCCGTCACTTTGAAGCGGCTGATCTGGCTATTCGTGCCACTATGGAGCTTCTGGAGGATATTAGATTAGCATCTGGAGACACAAACTTCACGAGGTAAAGCTAGCTCTCAAGTGTCACACGAGAGGAAACAAATGTGGGGAAAATGGAGCTGAAGCACATGATAAAAAATAAACACTTAAACATTCCTGCACCTCTTGCTTTTTATTGAATTGATCATCATTTTTAGATTCGATTTAGATGAGGGGGATTAAAAAAAATTGGTTTGTCTGAGGTATTTCTGTGCATGGAGCTATATTTTTCTGCATCTCAAATACAGACGTTGTAGACTGCCACCATTTCTGTTTCAGTTTCTAGTGGCCTTTTTATAAGCTTCATCTTAGCTGACAGAGAAGTGTCAGAGCTGTGGTCTTCTGTTGCTGTAGATAGCCTACTTCAAGGTTAGAGGTGTTGTGCATTCAGAGATGGTCTTCTACATAGTGAGTGGTTATTTCTTTCTTATTCACCTAAAGCACTCTGGTCACCGGTCTCTTGTAACCTCTGACATCAACAAGACATTTTCACCCAGAGAACTGCAGCTCACTGGATATTACTGTCTCCGTAAACACTGGAGATGGTTATGTGGCAAAATCAAAGTCGAACAGCAGTTTTCTGCAGCACTCAGACCAACTTGTCTGGCAGCAACAACTAAGCCACGTTCTAAGTCACTTAAATCTTCCTCTCCTTTTCTGATGCTCAGTTAAAACTTCAGATCATCTTGGACATGTTCACATGCCTAAATACATGGGGTTCATGCAATGTGACCTGATAGTTAGATAGTTGTGTTAACGAGGAGTTAAACAGGTGTTCCTAATAAGTGTATTTTTCCCTGCTAATGAATTAAGCATCAATGAAACCATAGTTTCATTAATGCTTGTGAAAAAAGAAAATGCATAGGCTTTGACAATCATCATACTCTTAAAGACTACTGCTTCATCATGCGTAGCTGCTGTTAGCACCACTCCAGTCTGTGTTCTCATCTCTGATTTTTTGCGGATGATGTGGTTCTGTTGGCTTCATTGGGTGGGGACCTCCAGCTCGCACTGGAACGGTTCGCAGCCGAGTGTGAAGCAGCGGGAATGAGGATCAGCCCCTCCAAATCTGAGGCCATGGTTCTCAGCCGGAAAAGTGTGGAGCGCCCACTCCGGTTCGGGGATGAGTTCCTTCCCCAAGTGGAGGAGTTCAAGTATCTCGGGTCTTGTTCGCGAGTGATGGGAGAAGGGAGCCGGAGATCGACAGACGGATTGGGGCTGCAGCTGCAGTAATGCGGATGTCGTGGTGAAGAGGGAGCTGAGTGTAAAAGCAAATCTCTCAATTTACCGGTCGATCTACGTCCCTACCCTCACCTATGGCCACGAGCTGTGGGTAGTGACCGAAAGAACGAGATCGCGGATACAAGCGGCAGAAATGAGCTTCCTCCGAAGGGTGGCTGGCCTCTCCCTTAGAGATAGGGTGAGAAGTTCGGCCATCCGGGAGGGGCTCAGAGTAGAGCAGCTGCTGCTCCACATCAAAAGGAGCCAGCTGAGGTGGTTCGGGCATCTGACAAGGATGCCTCCTGGGCGCCTCCTAGGTGAGGTGTTCCGGGCATGTCCCACCGGGAGGAGGCCCCAGGGCAGACCCAGGACACGCTGGAGAGATTATATCTCTCGGCTGGCCTGGGAACGCCTTGGTATTCCCCCGGATAGGCTGGAGGAGGTGGCTGGGGAGAGGGAGGTCTGGGCCTCTCTGCTTAGGCTGCTGCCCCCGCGACCCGGCCTCGGATAAAGCAGATAAAGATGGATGGATGGATGAAACCATAGTTTCAAAGAAATCAGATTAATAATATGAAAATATGTAATTTGTTGTTTTTTGTCTCATGTTTGTTTCTACAGATTAATGGGCCTCTCCCAGTCTCCTGTGTTGTGTTTTGTCATAGACACAACAGGGAGTATGAGTGATGACATTGATGAAGCAAAGAGGGTTTCTTTTGAGATCATTGACAGAAAAAGGGGAACAGGACAGGAACCCTCTGGTTATATATTGGTACCTTTCAATGACCCAGGTAGATCATTCACAGGGTGAATTTGTGCTTTGTTATGTAGAAAAGATGTTGTTTGAAAAGAATATTGTAATAATAATTAATACATTATTATAGACTTAATTTGGGAGTCAATTTCTTTTGTTATTTAGTCTTCCATATGAATGAGAATATAATAGCAGCTGTGTTTGTAGCAAATCTTTAAAAGAGCAAATGTGTCACTTTGAACATTTTTTATTTTATTTTATGTATTCTATGTGCAGATTTTGGACCGATAGTTATGACATCTAATGCAGACATCTTCAAAGGAAAGATCAACAGTTTGACTGCGGATGGAGGAGGAGATACCCCAGAAATGGCCTTGTCTGGACTGCAGGTGCTAACAACATAACAAACTGTTTTCTACTTTAGACAAAAGTTTAAAAACATCATATTTGATTTGGGAGAAAAAAATGGTATAGAAAAAGTATAGACACAGTGTTCTCAGAATGACCTTTTGTTATTAAACACGTGTAGTTGAGGTGGCCAGAAATGCCACTTTTCACTCAGACTGTATTTTTTTTATTATTAATTATTAATTGTTGATACTTTGTCCTGTCTTTCATACAAATAATATGGAAGCTTGCACTGACGGCAGCTCCACCCTTCTCTGAGATTTTTCTCTTCACTGATGCTCCAGCCAAAGACGCCCACCTGAAAAACACTATTGTTGCTCTTACAGAGAGCACAAAATCTGAGGTAAGAATTAACTTTGTACCATCCTTGCTCTAAAAAATGTCATTTTTGGCATGTAACATCTGATAATTTGTATATCATTTGTCTTGAAATGAAGAACATTATCTGAAGTTCGGAGGGACCAAACTTTTTAAACAGGTGCCCCACACACCTGTATGTGTGTTTTTTTCTGTGCTCCAACCTCCTTTCCTTTGCATGTTTTTCATCGTCTGTCAAGGCTGCCAGGCCCGAAAGCTGCTGCCTCTGGCCTAGCTCATTGATTACCATTCATCTTTCATCTTCATTATCAATAAATGTTTTCCACTTAGGCTTGTGGTCCTAACTTTTGAGATTTTTTTCCTCGTGGTTGCAGGTTACTTTCATGCTCACAAGCATTGCAGCAGGTCGACGGCGCCGCAGAACCTCTCAGGGTGTGGCTCCACGTGTAATGGGTCGATCTGCTGTCCAATTATACCAAGACCTAGCTCAAGCTTCTGGAGGTCAGGCCATTCAGGTCACTAAGTCAGAACTCTCTCTGGCTACCAGTGTTATAGTAGACTCATCAGCCAGCGCTGTGGTAAGACATCAATCAAGAGAATCATATCTGACTGAAGATCACACTGTGTGAGGAAATGTGATGTTTCTCTCCTTTTTCTCTTAGGTGACAGTTTTTCAGGCATCAAGGAATCCTGGAAGGCCTGACAGTTTTAATTTTACTGTTGATAGCTCATTACAGAACATAAAAGCTTACATCACGGGAGACTCACCTCTCACCTTCACCCTCACCAGCTCCACAGGTTTTGTCATCATGAATGTCTGTTTACCCTGTAGCAAATATGATAGAAATTTAAGCTCATGTATGCAAATTGAATGCATATAGTATATTATTATACTATATTGAATATTTATAGTATATATATACATATTATTTGTTTATTTTTAATTTAATGAGAAGGTTCATGAAACACATTTTCTGCCGAGTATTTCATGGTTCAGGCTTTTAATTCTAAGGCTCTATTTGATGCATTTGTTTTATTAAACTTCTACTTCTTACACTGTCATGTTGAAAACACCTTTATAATAGTTTGTCCCTCTCCCCCAGGTGTTTCTCAGACTTCCAGTCAGTCCAGTGGTCCTCTGGCATCCTTTACCACAGCAGGAAACATGCGTCGTTTAAGCCTCAACACTAATAATCAAACGGGGCTTTGGCAAATCAGTGTTAGCTCAAGTAAACCTTACTTAGTTAAAGTTACAGGTCAGTATTATGAAAACTCATTTTTAGGCTCTGAGTTACATGAAATGTTTTAGAAAAAATGTATTTACAAGGTCTGTTTCTACTTCTGAACATACGTATTCCAGCCTTTCTGATCTATTTTATGTATCAGGTCAAAGTTCAGTGAACTTCATTTATAACCTTGTCGAAGAGCATGAGGGCGCCCATGGGGACTTCAGTCTAAAAGAAGGACGTCCTCTGTCAGGTCAGGCTAGTTTTATGGTGACTGTTTGTTCATTTTTATAGTTGTAAAGTTCTGTTGTGGTAGACAATTTTCTACACTGTCCAAAGAGTCATCTTTTAATCAACAGCAACAATCATCTGTCTTGAAAAAGTTACTCTGTGCCCCAAAGGTTTATGCTACATCATGTTACAGTCAGTACAGTTCAAACTTGACTATTCTGTCCTTTAGCTTACCTTTTTTATTTGTACAGGTTGTGTTTCGCTTTAAGGGCATGTCATACTGATACTCATTTAGTTACCTTTTTTTCTTTACCTCTCTTTTAGGTGGTAATGCCAGCATCTTGGTCACTGTGACAGGAAGTGACACAGTAAAGGTCACAGATATCACACTTTTTGACAACTCAGGCCCAACAGAGGTCAAAGGATCATTGCAGGTGTGAGGCCATTTATCTGACAGATAAGGCTTGGTTGAAGTTGGAGTCATGCATTAATCCCAAGTGTCACCAGCAAATCTACAACGCAGTGACTGAAAAAGAAAAAAAAACATAGTGTTCATTGGTCCAGTAGAAATCACGAGCTGTGAATAAACCTCAGTGAACTGAAGAAGTATTTGCTTGAAATGATAATATTACTACATACTACAGAGATATTGTTGGCATTTCAGAGCTTAATTAATATTGTGTGAATTTACAAGGCAGAAGTTTTAATTTTAATTAAATGAAGGCCGCTATTTTTTGCTACACTATTTAATAGCAGCCAATTTTCAAGCCTTAAATACATGAATGTGCTGCAACATCCACAAATAGTCCTCGCACTCGCCCTACCCTGCCATAAGGATGTAGTTATATATTGTTTGGTTTGGTTACTGTTTATCTGGTGACAATGCATGTTGCTTCTTTTTGTCTCACACAGTCATTAGGAAGAAGTGATTTTCTGGTGACATTTACTGGAATTCCAGCAGGTGAATTTGTGCTTATCCTGAAAGGAGAGGCCACCAGCTCCAATTCCAAATCCACTTCAAGCAGCTTTCAGAGACAAGGGTCCACACAGCTCAAGACCTCTAGCATCTCTGTCACTGTGAGAACAGTTCATGTGTGCTTTCTGAAGAATCCTTAACCTCACCATATGTAAACTGAAACATTTTTACATTGATTTTTTTAACTTTATATAATTTGTAATAGCCATCTATGTAAATAAGTCTACAATCATAAACAACAGCCATTCCTACTGTGCTTCTTTCAGTGTCAAGTCATGTCATTATGCATCAACATATTATTATCTACAATCTTTAAAAAAAAAAAAAATTCCCCTGCTCCTCTCTCCCTCTCTCTTCTTGTCCAGGCCCAAGCTAATAATACCAACATCGAGCCGGGCACCACTATCTCCATTCCTTTCACAGTCACCACAACTGCTGATGGAGTTATAAATGACTCTGTAACTAAGACTTTTACCATGCTAGTCAGCAATGACCGCAATTATGCTTCCACTTCACCCAGCAGCGTTGCTATTCTAGCTGGCAGTGGGGGTAAAACCAATGGCACTGTAACCCTAACAGCTCCATCCAGTGCTCCACCAGGAACAGACGTGACCCTTACCATTGAGGCAGAAAACGCCGCTGCCACCGACATCAACTATGTAGTTCTCAGGTTTTCTGTGACTGCTAAGGTAAGTGATAATGGTTAGAATATTTTTCAACATTATTCTTAATTCTGTAATAATTAATGATCACGTACATAATATATCAAAAAGAAATTTTTGTTATTTTTATTTCAAATGAAAGATTAAATTTCACACGCAATTCGTTTTAATATTGTTGTCTTGCAGTTACAGTTAGGCTTTATGTGTCATACTTCTCTTGTGAATCATTATACATTAATTGAAACTGAATATGTTAAATTGTTTGTCATGGGTTGCTAGACAAGGACACAAATGCCAGACTGGCTGAAAAAAAATAAAACACACCTTTATGTATAAGAAAGACACGAGAAGCACATCACAAAAATGAAAAAGGGAGAACTGAGGATATTAATACTCAAATGATGATTAGGTGAATGTGGAACAAGTGGGTAAACAAACAAGTGCAAACAATCAAGGACGAGATAAAGAAAGTAAAACTAAATGCAAGACAAAAATAGTATTAAAATAAGACAGAAATGTGAGAGCAATCAGCACAAAGGCAAATACCCAACAAGAAAGACATGGGAGGCGGGATAAACTGAATCTAACTGACACGCAAAGATCTAATTAGTGTTCTTTTCTTTTTATCTTTAATAACTGGTGTGACACATACCCAACCACCCAGTACTTTTCATTCTTTTCATATTTCTGTCTCCAGGTGACAGATGTTACCCGTCCAGTTTGCCAGGTAGTCAGTACATCAACCTGTGACTCCTCTTCATTGCTTTGTGCTTCCTCACATTGGAAGTTCATTGCTAATTTCACTGATGGCATCAATGGAACTGGCATTGAGAGTCTAACAATCAGCCAAGGGAATGGTACTCTGAATATGAGCACAGTGGTTGGAGCAGGGGGTGATAATATTACACTGGTTACCTACACTGCGTCCTGCTGCTCAAGGATTGTGGAGGTGATTGCTGTAGATAGTGTAGGAAATGTGGGGACATGTGTGGGACAGGCTAGAGTGCTTACCACACCTCCTCCAACGACAATGACCCCTGCAACTACAACAACCCCTGCAACTACAACGACCCCTGCAACTACAACGACCCCTGCAACTACATCTGCAGTTCAAACAACATCCACCGGAGGGTACACTTTGAACATATCAACCATTGTTTGGCTCACTGTTGTGTTCTCTGTACTTTGGAAGTAAAAGAGAACAAATGGAAATTGCACTGTATTTGTAATTTGTGACATATGAGCCAAGTGACCCATCTTTGATTGCTGAGCTGAAATGGCTATGAAGCAACACACTGAGAAAAGTATCTTTAAATACTAACACCTTCTATTACCCAGGCATGTTTTTGTGTTTAAATTGTAAACACTTTAAATACATCAACTTTTTGGCCTGTTAATTTCTGTAATTTCCTAGAATAAATTATTATGTAGTAAACAAGATTATAAAGTGATTCCACTACATAAAATCAGCATTAATGTTCTCTCTTATATTTCTACAGTCAGTCTTTGCATAGGTGGAAATAGAGTATCAAATTCTTTTCAAACTGTCCACTTAACGGAGCAATTTCCTAGTTTTGAAAGCTGCTTTTTCATTCCACAGTATCATGTAAACAGCCATTACTTCCTTTTCTTACCTGCTCCTGGTATCTCTTTCTTATCTCTGAGAAGTCACCAATCCAGACATCCCTTTCTTTGTGTGTTACCAATGAAGATTTGTAACAACCTACTGAAATACAACATTATATATATAAGAACACATACATATAAAAAAAATGTTGACTTTAATTAAAACGTAAATAAATGTGATTTTAATCAATTTACAAGTATCACTTAATTGTCTCATTATTAAAGAGGTTACAGATTATAATGGTGTTCCTGCAGTCATTAATGGAGAATTATTTTATATTATTGTTCCAGTGACAAACCAGAGAAAGCATCTGGATTCTCACTGTAGCACCAAGAAAAAACACCATTTAATATGTTAGAAGTGTGCTAAATTATTCTTGAGTGGTTTAACTTTGCCTTTATATTTGGATTCCAAAGCATATTAATAATGTAGTTATTATTACTCAGCTGGAGACTGGAAGGTCATTTTACAATGACAGTTTCTTTCTTTTGAAAGTACTCTGCAATGTTTTGGTTATTCAACAATGCACCAATAAAGTTGAACAGTATGATTACACTATTACACTAACAACAATCTTACGCTAACATATTGCTGAGTAATTGTAATTCCATTACATAAATGGAGTCATG